CAGGATGAAGAATGTTACCTCATTAATTCTCACAGCATCCTGTCATAGAATCAGAGAACCAGCCAGGTTGGAAAAGACCTCCAACATCATCAAGTCCAGCCCTACCGTGGTCACTAGACCATGGCACTGTGCTAAGCTGTTGAATCTTACTCAGGTGTTTGAAGGAAGGTGAAAGTACTTTCACTGCCATGTCCAAAAAGGGACCTTTTCATGTGACAAGGTGTGCTGATTTCATTTTCCTTCAAGTTGTGCCTTTGGGTTAAATGTAAGGTGATAGAAAGAACTGCAGATCTTACTGGAGCATTTCATGTTGGTCTTTTTTCAAGATTCTTCAGAATGAACAGCTGGATGAAATCTCCCCAGTGGGCAATGAAGAAGTGTCAGCTGTCAGTCAAGCCTGGTTCACCACCAAGGAGGATAAGGATTCTCTAACCAATAAAGGTAGGAAGTTTCACATGCAGCTCTCCCATGCCTAAAAAGATCACCTATTCCCCATAGTGTCATAGAACCATCAAGGTTGGACAGACCTCTAAGGTCATTAAGTCCAACCCTTAACCTGTCACTGCTGGAACCCCCAAACCCTAACCCAGATCCTCCAGTGCCACATCAGACACCTCTGAAACACCTCCAGGGATGGTGACTGCACCACCTCCCTGGGCAATATCCCAGGGCCTCAACACCCTCACAGGGTGTCTCAGAGACAGATCAACTGACCACATACCACTGTGATCCAAAGGGGCATTTACAGTAGGAGTCGATGAGGGCACTGAATCTGGTAGTTCTAATTAAGAGATTAATAAATTCAGTAAGATATTTCTAACACAATATGCCAAGAGAAATGTGTGACAGTCCCTGTTAGCTGAACTTGTGATCTCTGTGGAGAAATGCCAGTTAAGTGGAGTTTGGCATGTGTTGCCTGAGCTTGTTTTATAGCAGTCTCCACCTGATAATGCTTTTTTTCCCAGACCTTGGGGAAAGTTATGATAATCTTAACACTGAAAATAGAAACACTGAAGTGCAGAATACACATCCTTTCCTAAAAGAGTTGGGTGTTGCAGATTATTCCATGTAGAGAGCTGCAGTGTCCCATTGTGTCAGTTCAGATCCTTGGATAGAGGTGTCAGTCACTGCTACAGCAATAGTTTATTGTTGTGTCTCTGTAGCTTTGGAGAAGAGGTTGAAGCCATCAGGCACAGGGAAGGAGTTCTCTCTCTCTGCTTCCAGTGGAATTAGTAATCATGCCTGTACTTTTCCTTCTAATTGGATTGGAGTAAACAGTCTCCTTGGTGTGTTCTGCCTCTCAGCTCGGGTCATTAGCAGGCTGAGAAGGAAGTACCCTGGTTTTCCTGAGCAGAGCTGGGCAGGTAGCCAGCACACACCAGTCTGGAAACTGGGTCACACCAGCATAACCTGGGCTAGGAGTGTACTACAGCCACGAGGGGGGAGAGAGTAATCTGTATATTAATTTGGGGTAGGAATGTTTTCATGGTTTGTTGCTAGACTTAAGGTGTGAAATGTTCTTTCTGAGTAGAGTTGGTTGAGTTTGCTGGTACAGCTTAGCTGCATTGTAGTTACCAAGGGCATAGGCAGAGAGGAAACTTTGTTTGTTTCTACTTATTTGCCACTTTGTTTGGGAAATAAAAGACTCTTCACAAGTCTTTATGTTGACTGTGACTCCTGAGCATTGTTCCCAGGGCAAAATGGTAAGCAGCTCATTGTCCACGTGGAGCCAGTGAGGAGTGCTGTCCCTCAGGGCTCAGTGCTGTCCCTCAGGGCTCAGTCCTGGGGCCAACACTGCTCAACATCTTTGTCAGTGACATGGACAGTGGATTGAGGCTCCCTCAGCAAGTTCTCTGTCCACACCAAGTGTGTGGGGCAGTCCCAGCTGGAGGGAAGGGATGGGACATCCAGAGGGACCTGGACAGGCTGGAGAGGTGGAACAATGCAAACCTCATGGAGTTCAACCAAATGCAGTGCAAGGTCCTACACCTGGGCCAGGGCAACCCCAGGCACAGCTCCAGGTTGGGTGGGGAAGGGATTGAGAGCAGCAATGAGGAGAGAGTCTTGGGGGTGATGGTGGGTGAGAAACTGCCCATGAGCTGCAGTGTGAGCTCAGCCCAGAGACCAACCCAGGCCTATGAAAACAGGGAGAGGGATGGGGATCAGCTTGTCAAAATAGCCTAGGGGAAGCAGTTACCTCTGTGGAAAGCACTTGCAGTGTGTAGCACTGCTCACACCCTGGGGAGTGTTAGGGCCTGTAAGAGAGCCCCAAGTCTTTGCCAGTTCCTCAGTGTGAGTGACATTTTTAGTCCCAACTTCTGGAATCGTTGGGGTGCATGGAAATTTCAGCTGTCAGTTTAGAGACAGAAATTTCCTAGCTGAGGCTGAAGAGAAATCCTGAAAATGGGAGAAACTCACGTTCTGGTGTTGAGAATGGGTGTTTGGAGAGGGATCTGACTCACACTGTTTGGACATCAGTTGGTGGTTGCTGTCAGTCGTGAGATAACATCTGATTAAAATTAATCTGAGTTGGCTGAAGTAGCTGAAATGACTCTTCACTAATTGCAGTGTGAGAGTTGTGTTTTCAGATACTTCTCGCTGCTTTTCTGGCTTTCACTTCAGCAATGGGTTTGTCCTTTCTATTTCCAGGCCACAAGTGGAAGCAGGGGATGTGGTCCAAGGAAGAAATCGACATTTTGATGAGTAACATTGAGCGTTATTTAAAGGTATGTGGCAGAGCATGGTGCTGGTAGCTGGGGTGGGGATGCAGTTCCTGCTAGAACCAACTCTCCTTAGTCCTTCCCAGAACATGCAGTAAATGATTCTGGTTCATTCGTTGTAGGAATGGTCATTAGCCATGTGAAATCCATAAGAAAGTTGTATCCATACACAGGGTTTAAGCCTGAATCTAACATTGCTTGTAACTGTACTGAGCACAGCCCATTCTGAGCCTCCTGACAGAACATTTTACATGGCTAACCCTCTGGCTCTGAATACACATTGATGACTCATGAAACCTTCAGTGAAGACAGAGGGGGAAAAAAAACTGCATTAGGAGTGGAGATAATTCTCCTTACTAAGCACTGAACACAACTTCCAGACTTCCCTGATGCCATGTCTGTGTTTACTACACTACCAGGGTGGCTCTGTTTGCTTTGTCCCCCTCAGTCCATCGGTGCCAGAGCTCAGGGTAAATGGGCCTGTGGTTAACACAGCAGGTCAGAGCTGTGGTAGGATTGCAGCTGAGAATATATAGTCTGGCTATCACAGTTTCACTGTCCTCCAGTTCTGGTGCAACAAATGCCCTGAATTTCGTGTGCATTGATGGAAAACTCTGCAGTATTAGGTGTAGGAAGTGTGTCTGCCCCCACGGAATCTCTGCCACGAAACCATTCGTAGGTGACACAATTTCTTCAATCCAGTGAAGCTTTTTCAAGCTAAATAGCTTCTCTGAGTTGCTGATAAATCCCTTGATTCATCCTTTTCCCATTTATCTGCTTTCTTGTACTGCTTGAAATAGTTTAAATACAGTGATTTTTAGCTTAAGGTGAATCATAGAATGATAGAATCAACCAGGTTGGAAAAGACCTTCAAGATCACCAAGTCCAACCCTACCATGGTCACTATTCCATGGCACTAAGTGCCACATCCAGTCTCAGCTTGAAAACCTCCAGGGATGGGGAATCCACCACCTCCCTGGGCAGCACATTCCAATGCCTGAGCACTCTCTCTGGAAAAAATCTCTTCCTAAGATCCAACCTAACCCTCCCCTGGCAGAGCTTGAGTCTGTGCCCTCTTGTCCTGCTGCTGGTTGCCTGGGAGCAGAGACCAACCCCCACCTGACTCCAACCTCCTGTCAGGGAGTTGCAGAGGGTGAGAAGGTCTCCCCTGAGCCTCCTCTTCTCCAGGCTGAACACCCCCAGCTCCCTCAGCCTCTCTTCATGGCACTTGTGCTCCAGTCCCTTCACCAGCCTCATTGCTCTTCTCTGGACCTGCTCCAGCCCCTCAATGTCCATCCTGAGCTGAGGGCCCAAAACAGAGCACAGTTAAACTAAATCTTTCTTTATATGCTTAACTCAGGGGGTTTTGTAGGGAATTGACTTTGAGTTTCCATCAGAACAAGAGGAGTTTAATGGGAGAAAGTCATTTAATTGAAGAAAGTTTAGTGGAAAGAAATTGCTTTCAGATAAGGAATATCTAAATGATGTAATGAATCACTGTAGCACTGTTGGACAACCTTCCCTTGCATGCCCCAGGCTAATTCCACCACAGAGCATGGTGGTCTACAGGATGGTTCAATTTTTGCTCTTAAAATACACATGGTACAGATGTTGTTCTTAAATGTGGATGGAAGTTAGAGCTTCTGTGTCTATACTTGCACTCCAGTGTTAGAAAACCCAACAAAACCTAGGGTTGAAGGGTTTGTATTCGAGAGAGGTAACCCATAAATACTTTTATTTGGGGCTGTAGTAGTTGTGACACACAGAAAGTTGCATGATGGCTTCAGTTCTTAAGTGTTCTGCTGCTTGATTTCTAGGAGAATTTATCTAAGGTGTTTTGTTTGTGGTTTGTTTTTGTTTTGTTTGTTTTCTAAATGCTTTTTCTAGGCCCGTGGAATAAAAGATGCCACTGAAATTATATTTGAAATGTCAAAAGATGAAAGAAAAGATTTCTACAGGACAATAGCTTGGGGTCTGAATCGGCCTCTCTTTGCTGTCTATAGAAGAGTTCTTCGCATGTATGATGACAGAAACCATGTTGGAAAGTATGAAACCTCTAATGCTGCATGGTTTGATTGGTATGAGTAGGGTCATGTGTTTGTGTTTGACATGTTTTGTGGGAGACAGAAGGTTCTAGCCAGACAGACCTAACTCTTCGAATCGTGTCACCTCTGCAGGATTCTGGTAGATGAACCTTGGCAACATAGACTCATAGAACCATCAGGGCTGGAGAGACCTCTAAGATCATCCAGTCCAACCCTTAACCTGCCACTGCTGGAACCCCCAAACCCTAAACCAGATCTGGGGCCATCCAGAAGGGATGTTGGATCTTAGTTGTTGAAGGGAGTTGAGAGCTGGAAATATCATCTCAGTGCTGACTTTATTTTTGTGATGGAAAGTCTCTCCTGATGGTGACTGAACTGGGACAGGGAGGCAGAAATAACTTTGGTTGAGAGACTAATGCACCAAATTTTATTGGTGTTCTTAGGAGTAATGAGGAATTTGTCTGACAAATGAGAGGGAAGTTAGAGCAGATAACCTTAGCAATGCACGAATGTGGAAAATGGCACTTGTTCCTCATGTTCTGTCCAGGCATTCAGTTAGTTCCTTACAGCTGAAATTCCTTAACCCCTTGATGTAGCTAAACATGTAACTGTGTGGTTAGTAAAAGGGAAATATTTCTGCTGTGTGCTTTCCAGTGTAAATAATGTCTTTTTGTTCACCTGCTGTTTAGGTATAGCCCTGAGGAAATTGAAAAGCTCAAAGAGTAAGTGTTGATTTTTAATAACAATGTGGCGTTCCCTTGTTTCTGTTTATATCTGAGTAGTTTTCACTGATTTTGTTGTATGAAATCACATGAAAGTTACAAGTAAATTTGACTGTTCCAATGCTATCAGCAAATAGTGGTCACTGAATTAATCTGAAGGGAAATGAAAGTACATTTGGATTGTTTATTTGATTATTTATTATATTTATTTCAAGGGTTTTATGTCTTGTATTCATTTGGACTATGATAGATCATAGAATCACCAAAGTGGGAGGAGACTAAGACCATCCAGTCCAATCCTTAACCTGTCCCTGCTGGAACCCCCAAACCCTAACCCAGATCCTCCAGTGCCACATCAGACACCTCTGAAACACCTCCAGGGATGGTGACTGCACCACCTCCCTGGGCAATATCCCAGTGCTGAACACCACAACAGGGAAAACATTTCTCCTCACATCCAATCTGACTCTGCCCTGGCTCAGCTCAAGGCCATTCCCTCTCTCCTCTCCCTCAGCCCTGGCAGGACACACATCCCACACCTCTCTCCAGCCCTGGCAGGAGTTGCAGAGAGCCAGGAGGTCACCCCTGAGCCTCTTCTCCAGGCTGAGCAGGACAGACAGGACAGTTGGGTATTAAGATTTTATCCAAGTGAGTGTCCTGTGATTTAGTTGACCCAAAAAGCTGCTAGAAACACACAGAGAGTATTGATCCTGAGAAAGATTTTATCCAAGTGAGTGTCCTGTGGTTTAGCTGACCCAAAAAGCTGCTAGGAACACACAGAGAGTATTGATCCTGAGGTATCAAAGTGAGTCCACATTCTATCTTTGAGCCTGTAAACTGCACATTGATCCTGGGTTTATTAGAGAGCATTTTAGTGCTCTCCTCAGTGGATGTGGTGCTAATGAGTGTGTTTGTTCTAGGCTGAGGGTGAAGCATGGCAATGACTGGGCCACGATCGGAGCTGCTCTGGGCAGAAGTGCCTCATCTGTCAAGGATCGGTGCAGGCTGATGAAGGATACCTGCAACACAGGTGAGGGGAGAGCTGCTGGCAGTACTGCCTGTTCTGCTTAGAATTCTGTCTCCTTGACCTTTGGCATTGGTGTTTGCAGAGGAATATGACCCTGAACGGAGGAACTCAGAGTGTGAGATCTGAGGGAGTTACAGGATGTATTTGGTGTACATTTATCCAGTTCCACTCAAAGATCAGCACATTCAGTTTGGTTTTTGCAGTCCATTATCCATCGTGTGTATATGCTACTGGAGCATATTTTATTGAGGTGGATTAAAAGGGACTTTCCCTTGTGTTTAGAGGTCATAGAATCATTGAGGTTGGAGGAGACCTTGAGTGCAACCATTAACCTGCCACTCTGCTGTAAAATCAGATGCACTTTAGAAGTAAAGTAGTGTATATTTTATAGTGTATATATTCAGATGAAAGGAAAATGTAGTCAGGCCTCCTGTTGTTAATGTGCACTCAATTGTTGCATGGTTAATTTACTGCAACTACAGCAATTCGGGTAGCTCAGACCAGTTAGCTTAGGTCAGTGTTATGTGTGGCAAGAGGAAGAGAAGAGAAAGAAATTTGGCAGCAGGACAGTGGAGCTGTGGATTTGTTAATCAAGAATGGGTGTAATATAATTGCTAGGAATTAAGGACAGTTAGGTCTTCTTCACAAGTGAGACCCTGTCCCAGGGTGCCCAGGGAGGCTGTGGCTGCCCCAACCCTGGCAGTGTTCACAGCCAGGTTGGATGAGCCTTGAGCAACCTGCTCTGGTGGGAGGTGTCCCTGCCCAGGGCAGGGCTTGGGGCTGGATCATCTCTGAGCTCCATTCCAACCCCAAAATTCTCTGCTTTGCACCTGGAATAAGATGTCAGGCACGGAAGGTTGGCATGAGTCGGAACGGAGGGCATGTGCTGCTGGTGAAGCTGGAGGGGTTTTCTCTCTCTTCCAGGGAAGTGGACGGAGAAGGAGGAGAAGAGGCTGGCAGAAGTGGTGCATGAGCTGACCAGCACAGAGCCAGGGGACATTGTGACCCAGGGGGTGTCGTGGGCTGCCGTGGCCGAGCGGGTCGGGACGCGCTCCGAGAAGCAGTGCCGCTCCAAATGGCTCAACTATCTCAACTGGAAGCAGAGTGGGGGCACCGAGTGGACCAAGGAGGACGAAATAAACCTGATCTTGAGGTTTGTTATCTCAGTTCTTGTGAAGGTGTGCAATCCCTGTTGCTCCAGGATTCCACCCGGGTCTGCTTCGCTGCTCGCTTAGACGCCGAGAGCTCTAGAAGCCTCCAGAAGTCACTGCTGTGTTTACAGTTCCCAGAGATTTGATTATTGAACGTCTATTTTTGTTCTTTGTTTTTTTAGTGAATGTTAGTGTTCGGGAAAGGTGTTCAGATTGAAAACCCTGGAGACTGAAGTCTTCTTTATTCCACAGAAAAGGTACAGCACAGGCAGCAAACCGTGCAAGCTTCCCACACGTTGCCCCACCGATGCGCTTCAACCCTTCACTGGAGGGGAGCTCAGTCTCCTTCAGTCCTTGGCCTCTCTGCTGAGAGGACCAACAAGGGGCAAGTGTGGTGGTGGTTTCTGTGATGTGGATGACTTGTCTACCAGGAGCTAAAGCAAGACTGCCAATTAATTTCATGTAGGCCACTAAACACTGATTGGATATCAGCTCCTCTGTGACTCCATTGGAGCCTGGGAGTAACTTTGGAACTCTTTAGCTCTCTCCAGGCCTCCTCCCACTTTGAATGCCTTTAACTCAGGCTGTTTAGCCAGTGGATTTTTGTGGTTGGGTGGGAATGCAAAGCCAACACATCCAGGAAATCTAAGGGTTATTTGCAGAGCAATATTCACTCATTTACTGAAGCTGTTTGACATGACCTCAGAATGAGGAACCTGATCCCACATTTCAGCACGTTCTGGTTATCACTCTTAATGTGTCTGTACAAGTGGTACCTGTTCTGGTGTGTCCAGATATCCTTCACTCATCCTGCAGGGTTGGTTTGGGGAGTTTGTTTCATTTTTCCCTTGGTTTTTTCCCTTTAGCTAGCAAGTGTTCAGTGCTATTGCTTGGTTTGTGAAGAGAACTTCTCTTAACTTCCACAAAAATACTTCCTCCTCTCACTGCTCATCTCTCTCCTTGATATGCTCCATGTTCAGATGACCTGGAGGCAGTTCAGAGATATTTATTGTATTCAAACAGATTCTGGTAGGATCCAATGTGTCTGTAACATCTGCCAAAATCATCTGAAGACTGTCCCTCACCTGGAGAGCCTGATGGGATTGACTTAGGAGTTTAATGCTGTAGTTAACTTACCTCCTTCGGCTAAGAAGGCTCTGAGAGGAGGCAAAAACCTGATGCTAAGGATGGATGAGTGTTACTTAGGAGAAAACAGAAGTAACTATCAGAACATGAAATTAATTCAGTGAAAGTTCAGAGGGAATCTCAGGAAGTATTTCCAGCCTTTCCTGCAGATGTTGTTTGGGGAATGATCTTCCCAAAAGAAAAGGTGCAAGTGCCACCATTTGGAATGCTTCACCATAGTCTGGTCTGAGTCCTAACGTGCAAGTCAATAAGGAGAATAATCCTGCATGCCAAGGAGATGGACTGGCTCAGCTAGCAGGTCTAGTCCATCTTCTGTTGTTTCTGACTCTGCTTGAGCTCTGGAGCCTTGGAATCCTTGTGTCCCTCCACGAGCTCTGGTGAGCTGGTCACTGTAGCATGTTACGTGTGACACCACTGGAGACCTTCCCAGTCTGCAGGGGAGTGTCTGACAGGGAAATGCCTTTGTGTCCTGCCAGGATAGCAGAACTGGAGGTGTCTGATGAGAATGACATCAACTGGGACCTGCTGGCCGAAGGATGGAGCAGTGTCCGCTCGCCCCAGTGGCTCCGCAGTAAATGGTGGACCATCAAAAGACAGATTGCCAACCACAAGGATGTGTCCTTCCCTGGTAATGTACTGTGTGCCCACTGCTCTCCTCAGGGCTCCCTTCACAGATGTCACTGAGGCTGCTTACAGCACTGCTGGCCAAGGAGCACTCTGCTCCTTGTCTGGCCCCTTGGGTCCTCTGGCTGGGTTGCTCCTGCCAGCAATCCTCAAGAGTTGCAGCCAAAACAAGCCAAGCTGATTTATGCAACTAAACAGGAGATTTTGTCAGCTCTAAAGTGAGGAGAGTGTGCATAAAGTGAGAGCATGTACATCACAGCTCAGCTGGCAGATCTCGTGTGCTGCTCTTTGGTCTGGAGGGCACTGACCTCTTCAGGTGGACCAGGATATGTAGCTGCAGCCTGACAGCATCAGCTCAGGTTGGATTGTAACCTTGGCGGTGTTAAAACATAATCTGTGCTGAGCCTTAGTGTGAGAAGGCAGATCTGCCACCAGCTGCAGTGAGGAGGAGGAGGAATCAGCAGTGTAAAGCTCCCCAAAAACATCTCACAGCGTTTTCTCCTTCTTGGTTGGAGAAACTGGTCCCTGAGCCAAAGAGTATTTCAGTCTCTGTGACCTTTAGTTCTCCTTTTCTCTGACTTGGGGAGAGGAAAAAAGAATCAGAGAGCTGAGTCATGTCCTAATTAATGAGAGGTGTAATTTAGTGGACACTTGTGCTGTGGCTGTGTTAGTCATGCCTGGAGGCTGCAGCTTGCAGGGCAGCCCTGTTAGGCTTCACCCCATGTTAACAGGCTCTTGTTGCATCAAATCCTGCACAGTAGAAATGCACCACTGAATCAACAGGCTCTGCTTCCTCTCCCCTGACAAAAGTTTAAGCAGTTTGCTGCACTGAGTGCTGGAAAACCTGAGGCCTCAGCTCTTGTATCCTGCTCTGCTGTCAGCTGCTCCCTCGGTGGGAGCGAAGCAGCCAGAGGGGAGGAAGGTGGGTGGTGTTGCTGGAGCAATGAGCCTCTTGGTGCACAGGTGCAGCACTGCAGCAGAGCCCCTGTCAGATTAGTTCTCTCCTGCTCCTGTTTCCACTGACACTTCTGTCAAGCTCCTGAACAAATCCGCTTCATGTTGGAGAAGATTGGAGGGTTTATTTCTGGTAGCAGCATTACACAACCAGTGATACTAGGGATTGATTGTGGCTTGGGGAGGAACCATACATCATTTCAGAGTTTCCAAGTTTTATGAGCTTGCTTTCTTCTTTTTATTGCCCGAGCATCCTAAAATTCCTAACTTCCATACAAATGTTCCAAATCAAGTTCACTGCAGTGGCTGAATATAACTGTGGTTTATGTATGTGCTAAATTTCTAGTTTCTACATGTCTATAAATCGTGCCAGTTCCAAATTCAGAAGGATTTTGGTTGCTTTCTTCCTTTTGGGTAAATCACACACAGCATTGCAAATATGCTCCTTCAACATGCTTTAGCATGAGTGTCTTTTCTCTCAGTGCTGATAAAGGGTCTTAAACAACTCCATGAGAACCAAAAAAACAACCCAGGGCACCAGCTGTCGGAGAGCAAACCTGGGGGTGGATTACCCAGCACCAACTCCAGCTCTGGGGTGCAGCACGTGCAGATCCGAGTGGCTCGTCTGGAGGAGAGCTCAGGCAGTGCCCCGAGCCCCATGGCAGCTCTGCAGATCCCAGTGCAGATCACCCACGTCTGTGAGTACCTCAGACCTGTCCCCTGGCCAAACCCAAAGCTTTCCTGTGGCCAGACAGTGAAGGAGGAGTGGGGGTGGCTTAAAGATTTGAGCCAGCAGTGTGCACAGGTGGCCAAGGAGATCAGATCTGCTCTGGGTGCAGTTCTTACTGCTGGATTTTGTACCTACCCTCACTGAGTTACTTCAGTCACCCAGGTGAGCCTGTGGTCCCCAGTACACACCATTTTGCTCCAGCTGTCATTTGTGAACCCTGTTAGGAGAATTTAGTGCTTTGGTCTTGCTGATTACCAAATTAGTTAGCCACAAACTGATTCTTCAGACTGTGACTCGATAGACATTTGATAAACAGTTTTCTGTTCATATTTTCATTGATTAACCTGTGTTAATCCATTTATTTAGTGCATCCTTCCCTCTGTGTGGTTTGTTTCCTCATTAGGGTGGCATACAACCCCAGCCCAGACCCTGTCCCACGTTGCCATACACCAGTGGCCTCAGACTTTGCACGAGGCCAGAGCTGTTGGGTTTGGATGAGCAGGCTGGATGTGCTGCTCTTCTGTGACCTGAAGTCCTGTCTGAACTGAACCCTCTAACAACTCTGGTGGCTTCACCTGCCCCTGCCTGCCTGACTACCCTATTTTCACATTATAGTCTGCTTCTCTGAGGAATTTCTGGCTGTGTAACCAAAGTGTTGTGTCTTCCCCAGTCCCACGAGAGCTGAACCTCTTAGCCACTTCAGCTGCATTTGATAGAAGGCTTAAGGTTTCCAAGGGGTGATTGCTGCAGGCTTTGTGGACACAGCTGGCTGGACAACTGACAGGCCACACTTTCCAGCTGTGTGCCAGGAAATCTGCAGCAGGAAACCTTGAGGATGCCACTACAACCATAAAAGCTTCCAAACTGGAGCTTGTGTCTTCATAAGAAACCAAAATGTTTCTGGTTTTGCAGCCACAGAGTCTGAGATGGCAAAGTTTCTGAAAGTTTCTGCCCTCATCTTGTAGGTCTTTTCCCCTTTGGGTATTTAGGAAATTACTGCACAATCCCAATTATTAATTTGCCTTCAGCTTCCTGGAGCTTGTGAGGTTTTGTAAGGGTAAATAGAAATGGTAATTATGGTTATAAATTTTGAGGTACAAGTTGTTTAGGCTTGGTGAGCTTGAAATATCTAATATATAAACTGTTTCCAAAGCTTCTCTTCATTGCTTTTAGAATTAATAATGGCACACTTGTCGTGAGAGTTCTTGCAGCTTTTATACACTGCACTCATAGCACACAGGGGAGGCAGATTCCTTGGGTTCATCCCTGGGAACACACTGTGGAGGGCAGAAAGGTTTAAAATATCCCCAAAAAAGAAAAATTGGTCCATGGGAAACACACCAATATGAAAGCTGACACCAGTTTAATCAGTCAGAGGGTATTGTTACACCAAAGCAGCAGAACCTCTTACAAATCTCAAGACCAAAAGTGATTAGATCACATCAGGTAACTCTATTTATCTGCTTTTCTCTCTGAGCACCAAACCCATCCTTTTTTCTCGTGCTCCTTTGGGCTGTGGAGAGCTCTCTTTGAATGGTGGTGTAGCTGGGGTACCAATTAGAGAACCTTGTCATTGGGATTGCAGCCAGTTCCCTTGTCCCTCTGGGGGAATTAGCAGTACCCTGCCATGTAGTCATTACAGTCTGTTGTGCTCTCTGCAGGGCTGAACCTTCTGCTTTACTTCCTTTCTCCATCTCTTTTCCCTTTTGCAGCCTCAACGGATTCCCCCACTGCTACTGTTGACTCTGAGACAATAACACTAAACAGTGGAACACTACAGACCTTTGAGATTCTTCCAGTAAGTAACAGAGAGCTGATATTTGTTCCTGGGGGGATTTTTAAGCCCAGCTCCTTGTTAGACTACAGAACTGTGCATGTCAAAAAAATCCTCAAGTGGAAAGAGGAATTTAAGAGATCCAGAACTTATTTCTATAAGTGTAATTCCTTAGGGCTGTGGAGTGAACTGTGAATTACAGTTAAATGCTTTAAGTCTGTCTTAATGCCTTGGTTTTACAAAGTTTTCCTTTGTGCTTGGGGGTTTTTTTCCTGACAAAAAGGAGCCAGAGGAAGGGCCCAGCAAGTAGATTGTCTCTGTTCCATTGTCCTGTCATTTCTGGCAATTTCTCTTGCATCTCAATGTAAAAATAAGCTGAGTTTGTTCCTTTCTGCCTACTGTTGTACAGCACAATACAAATTTGCCCTTAATACTTGCCTCGACAGCCTAAGGCTGTGGGTGAGTTCCTTTCTGCTTCTTGAGTGCAGTGCAGCACTCAGTGCAGAAGGGCATGGATTGGATTTGTCTGTCTGTTTTCCAGGAGAGTTAGTTAGGCTGATTCATGTACATCAGCGTGGCCTGGGAGCTGTGTCTGGGTATTAAACTTCTCTTGTCCTTTCTAGTCTTTCCATCTCCAGCCAACTGGAACACCAGGTACCTACTTACTGCAGACAAGCTCAAGCCAAGGTCTTCCTTTAACTCTGACAACTAGTCCCACCATGACCCTGACAGCTGCTGCTGCTCCTGCCTCCCCAGAACAGATCATAGTCCATGCCTTATCGGTATGTGCTCCGGGCACTGGGAACACTGGATTTGGGCAGTGGGAACACTGGGGTTTGGGCAGTGGGAACACTGGAGTTTGGGCAGTGAGAGCAATGGAGTCTGGGCAGGGGGAACGCTGGAGTTTGGGCAGTGGGAACACTGGAATTTGGGCACTGAGAACACTGGATTTGGGCACTGGGAACACTGGGGTTTGGGCAGTGAGAGCAGTGGAGTTTGGGCAGTGGGAACACTGGAGTTTGGGCAGTGAGAGCAATGGAGTCTGGGCAGGGGGAACACTGGGGTTTGGGCAGTGAGAGCAGTGGAGTTTGGGCAGTGGGAACACTGGAGTTTGGGCAGTGAGAGCAATGGAGTCTGGGCAGGGGGAACACTGGGGTTTGGGCAGTGAGAGCAGTGGAGTTTGGGCAGTGGGAACACTGGAGTTTGGGCAGTGAGCACAGTGGAGTGTGCTTAAAATCCTGAAATTTTGTAGGGGTTTTGTTGCTTCAAAACTTAACTTAGTGAGCAGGTTCTGACTGTGGCTGAACAGGATGTCTCCATCTCGTGGCTTTGTCCCCCAGCAAACCCAGATCCTAAGGTTTCCTCATGTTTTCAGTTACTCTCACAGATATTGGTGTTCACAAAACTTGTGTAGTAGTGATAGGTGTTGCTTTTTATTAGAGGGAGGGAAGGGGAGGCAAAGTGGAGGTTGAATCACAAAAGTGAGGCCAAATTCAGGGAGAACAAACCCTCTGGCCAGGTGATCCTCACCTGAACAGCTGCCTCTTTCTATAATATGTTTACTTTGTGTCTTCAAGAAGAGGTGACACCAAATTCAGTCTATGAATTCATGATTTAAGACTGGGAAAGGTCAACAGGTGATTTGGGCTGATGCGTGAAAACTAAAGTTAAATCTGCAGCGAGTCCTTTTTGCTTGTATTTGCTGAGAGGTGTGGTTAAATCTGCAGCGAGTCCTTTTTGCTGAGAGGTGTTAAGGAGATTGTGGGAGAGTCTCTGACACTTCTTTGCTTGTGTTTGTGTTTTTGCTGCTCCAGCCAGAGCATCTGCTGAACACGAGCGACAACGTGACCGTGCAGTGCCACACGCCGAGCGTCATCATCCGCACGGTGGCTGCCGAAGACATCTCCCCCCCTGGCCCTCAGACACAGCTCCCTGTGGACTCAGACATCCAGTCTGCTGAGCTGGCAGAGCCTCCAGACACCCTGGGAACAAACCCCTTCCCAGCTGACATCCACCAGCCCAAGCTGAGTGATGAGGAGCAGTCAGCCTACACTGAAGACGATGCTTCCAAATTCAGCAGCAGGAACAGGAGTGAACTGATGGATGGAGTCATGGTGAAAGCTGAGCAGGAGATTGCAGATGCCAACCTGAAACAGGAGGGGGATTCTCACTCTGATTTGCCCAGCACCTATGTTACTGAGGTAAGGGAGTGCATGGCATTGCCATTGTCCCCGTTTCTGCATGGAGAATGATTTCATTGCATCTTTGGCCTTCATGCTAAGCTGTTTGTGTGAAATATGTCAGTGATTTCGTGTGTATTAGTACCTGAAGGAACCTACAAGAAAGATGGAGAGAGACTATTCACAAGAGCATGTGGTGCCAGGACAAGGGGGAATGGCTCAAACTGAAGGAGAGCAGGTTTAGGTTAGACATGATGAAAGAATTCTTCCCTGTGAGGGTTCTGAGGCTCTGGCACATGTCACCCAGAGAACTGTGGCTGCTCCCTCCCTGGCAGTGTTCCAGGCCAGGCTGGATGGAGCTCTGAGCACCCTGGGCTGGTGGCAGGTGTCCCTGCCCAGGGCAGGAGGGTTGGAACTAGACGATCCGTAAGGTCCTTCCAACCCAAACCATCCTGTGATTCTCTGATTCTGTACCACAGTTCTACAAGTATTTGTTCAGATCCTCTGTCCTTGAGCTTCATTAGTGTGTTATGGGTGTGAAAGGAGCAGCATTTCATTGGTACTGAGGGTTCTGTTTGACTCACCTGGAGCACTGAACCCCTCAGGAGCTGTGAGTTGCTCCCTGTTTGGGGTGTGTGACAGTGGAAGGAGAGAATATCAGTGGCACTGATGACTGTTGCTTTAAACCAGGCTGTTAACTGTCCCACACACCTCCACAAGCAGAGAGATGCCAAGCAGGGGAGGTGTGAGGTCTGTAGCTTCTGCTTGATGAATCTAAAAACATACATCAAGGTGTGCACCAATTTCCATTTTTGAGGCTTTATATTAAGCACACAACTCCAGTTAAGTCTCTGTTACATTGGAATTTGAAATATTTAAGCTACTTCTCTCACTGGCCTCAGATTTATTCAGCTCCAACACCTGAGGTGCAGAATTGGGATTGTTCATACTAAATTCCTCCATCCTATGACAACAACTAAGCCACAGAAAGCAGAGATGCTAAAAGGAAGATAATGATTTGTAGTGGGTGGAAAATACCTCTTTCCTTCCAGGCTTGGTTGGGTTGGAATGTGGGAAGGGATGAGTAGAGTGAAATGTCCCATCCTGTTCTGAACTCTGTGCTCTAGAGTAGCTGCAATTTTGCTTTGTCAGTCCTGCAAATCCATTAGTGATAGGCTTTGGCTTTGAAAAGTTGATAACAGACACTGCATTATGCCCTTACAAAGGGAGGAGCTCTGTAGGTCTCTAGCTAATGCAAAGTGTTGGAGTCCTGACCTCACCTGAAGCTGGAGATTATTCTTCCATTTCCCTTAGTTGTGATGAGATTCTCAACAGCTGAGGCAAACCATCAGCTCCCTCAGGTTAAACCCTCAGCTTCTCCAGGTAGAGTGAATAAACTTTTAATACACACCTAGTTAGACTCTGCAGAAATTGCTTATGGCTAACAGGATACAAAACTAAACCTTTTTTCTACCCAGAAAACCAAACTGAGTTTGTAATTCTAATTTGCCTTACCACTCCTGGTCAGATTGGAGCTCAACATGTGTATTTAAACAACAGGAAATAGTGACCTGAGTGTGAGTGATTCTAGGTGAAAAGCTACTCTAGAAAAACAGGCCTGAATTCTGCTGTCAGTGCATGTTCCTTGCCTGGCACTGTAGGAGGGTTCCATTCCTCCTGCCTGGGAGAGGTGCCCGTTTGCCACAGTGGCTCCTGGAGTTTTTCACACCTCCTCGTGCCACTCTCAGGCTGTGCAGCACAGGGTCAGCTGTGCAGCCTGCAGGAGTCAGGGCAGGACACAGAGCCTGCCTGAGTGGGCACACCGTGGACCTGGGCCAGTGCCCTGAGCCTGCAGCACAGGGACTCACTGCTCCTCCTCAGCAGCACCAGGGAAAGGGGTTTCAGGCCGTGTCCTCTGCAGGAATATGGTGAAAGTATGAGAGGAAACAAATTTTCCTGAAAAAACAAGGTGGAGGAACATGAGGATTTTCTGTAACCTCTCCTGAACATCTCCTGCTCCCTCTGAACACAGTGATAAATCCGGGTACCCTCAGTTCTGTAAGGATTCCTGAAGCTGGGACAAACCTTGTGCATGTTGCTCACCAGGACTGGGATCAAGTGTCCCTGCTGGCTCTGGCAGTGTGGGATGTCTTGGCACTGCACTCACAGCACCTGGAGTGCTCCAGAGTGTGCTGGGACACGGAGTAAGGCACATGTCTCAGGGCCCGTGCAGCTCTGCAGGAGCCAGGGAAGAGGCAGCAGCTCAGGCAGAGCTGGAGGAGAGTGGGGATGTTGACAGCCTGTACCTGGAAGGAGTCAGTGTGTGCCAGTGTTCTGGTATCCTGTTGTCCAGCCAGCAAGGCACAGCAATGACATGGGTCTGTGGGGCTCTGTGCTCAGTGCCAGCTAAAACTTGGCAGCAGGAGTTGTGAAACTAAAGTATTCAGCTCAGGTGAAGTTGTGTTGGTGGAGCTGGTGAGTACTACCAAGGTCATGCTCAGTCTCTCCAAACATCCAGCAGAGCAAAAGCTTTAATTATTCCTCTTCACAGGGAAAGCATTTGACTTGCCCGAGAACACTGTGCCCCATTCACCTGGCAGGTGAGGGGCATTGCTGAGGATGTGGCTGAGCAGGGCTGTCTGTGCCCCCACTGCACTCTCATGTGCTGCTGTTGTGTGTTGTGCAGGATCTGGGTTCCCCAACGATAGAAGAACAAGTTCAGCCTTCAATAGATGATGAGACTGTGCTGATTGTTCCTTCTTCCCATGGTTTTATCCAGGCAACAGATGACATAGACAGCGAATCAGTCTTGCCCCTGACAACTCTGACAGGTAAGACACTGGAGCAGTGCATGGCACTTCTGGGTCCCTGCAGCCAACACTTCACAGATCTTTGCTTGCTCTCCCATAATTCTCCATGTCATTGTCATGAACTTTCAGTGATTTGGATCCCCAGCTGTTACAGTGGGAGACAGTCCCACTTCACCATGTGGGAAAAGCATTAGAACAGCAACTGCTTCACTGTTTGCTGAGCTGTTCCCACCACCCTTGAGCCTTGAGCCAGTCCAGGTTGGTTGGTAACTCTGCAATGTACATTGCTTCATGCCTGGGGCCTGGACAAAGCCTCTTTGTCCTCTGTGAGGGAGCAGAGACATCAGCAGTGCACTTGATGCCTCTCGTGATGAGGACTGGGCTCTTTGGGAGTGTTTGCTCAGCACTCACCTGGAAGGGCATGGCACACTGTGCCCTGCTTCCCACTGCCAGGAGTCATCTTGGCCAAGATTTATTCTCCCTTGCAGAGCCCCCAGAGGGTCAGCACTAGGCCTGGGACAGGAACACCTGCTGAATCCAACTGGTTGCATCCACATCAGTCATTGCTTACCTTCTGTAAAGATCCTCTGACCCACCTGGACGTGATCCTGTGCCATGCTCGAGCTGAACCAGCTTCAGCAAGGGCTTGGACTGGGTGATCTCCAGAGGTGCCTTCCCACCCCAACCTTTCTGTGAAACCACAAATTGCAGACTGCCCAGTTTGAGCAGCATTGCTTGAAACTGGCTGTAATTCCAGGCTTTGCTGTGTCCCCAGTGTGTTTTCTGCCCCGTTGCTGATGTGCTTTGTCTCCTGGCAGATCCCATCCTGCAGCACCACGGGGATGGCTCACACATCATTGGCTCCTCGCTGGGCAGTCCTGACTCAGAAGACTCCAAGGATGTTGAAGACCTAGTGAGCTGTCCCTGAGCAGCAGTAATCATGTCCATTTTCTAGTGCCCATGTTTGCATTGTGAAATTAGTTACGACCCTGTGCCACATTTCCAAAGAAAGCAGTCACAGTCTGTCTCTCCAAACAGAACCTTCCAGTCTGAAACGACTCTGGTGCACCTTCTCTGCTCAGGCTGTTTACCTCATCCACAAAGGGTTCCCAGGCAGAGGTCCCATGGCTCAGCCAAGGTGTTCCAGTTCCTAGAGAGCCTCTGTGGCAGTGCTCACTGCTGGGATCCACGTGCTCAGTTCTGCTCTGACTTGGTCCTGGTGTGCTGAGCTGCACACCTGGAAAACTGGACAGGAGTCAAGGGTTGTGGCCTGTGGCCTCTTGGTGCTGCAGCAGGGATCAGTTTGCACAGGTTTCATGGGTGAGGATTTCTGAACTCCTGGAGGAAGAGACTGTTACATGTCATAAGAAGGAGAGAGTTCCATCAGAGACCTCAGGGAGCGTGGGCAGCAGCAGCAGCAGGAGATGGTGTGTCTCATCTGGCTCCTCAGTGTGTCTGTGGCATAGGAAGAAGACACAGAAGCTTCTGGGACTTGCCTGGTCTGTGTGTTCCTGAGGGATCCGTTGCTGGCAACGGACAGAGCTCAGAGAGATCACTTATGGAAAACCTTCTTTGTCTGTCTTTCTCCTCATCACTACAGTAAGCTGAACAAAAAGGGAAGGGCTATGAGAAAGGGAAGCTGCAGGGCCCCACCACCCCCAGGAGCCTGTAAATCCCTCGGGATCATTGTGAGGGGTTGGAATGTTTGTCTCTCTGTTTACAGACACCCCCAGCACCTCTCCAGAGGTGATTCCTGCAGCCAGTCGGAGGGGGAAGTGGTGTGGGAGTAGGAACAGCTCTGTGAGAGTTTGGGCACAGGAGGCCAATGGAGCAGGAGCCTGTCAGCTAGGACTCGGGAGAAAAAGCTATAGAAACTAAAGACTCTTGTATAAATTATTTTATTTATTTCTGTAATTAGCTCTTCATAACCAAGAGTTGGTCTTTCTTTTTTTCTTTTTTTTTTTTTTTTCCAGTCTGTGGTTTTGTTAATGTGAAAAACCAGTCGTAGTTTTAAATGGTTGCCTAGGGAACAGGAATAATTGTATATTCAGTTTCGACAAAATAAAGAGTATTTGTCTTACTCTGACTGTAAGATGCCGTTTATTGATGCTGTCACAGATCCTCCCAGTGCTGCAGCTGATTCCTGCAGCAGTAAAAAAGGGCAGGTTTGTTGTGGGTTTTTTTCCAAAACGAAAAAGCTTGTGCCATTCTGGAACATCAGCACAACCGGAATGTTCGTTAAGCGCAACAGGAGCTCTTCAAAAGAAAGCAGAATGTCACGTCTTATGGCAATAAATCTCTCCCCACCAAGAGGGACATTACATATACATCCACATGAAAATCATGTACTGGTTTAGCCTTGCACAACCCACTTCTTTCCTCTCGGGCTGGTGGTTCTCACTGCAGTGTCTCGAGGAGAGCGGAGCCGAGAGCAGCCGGACACAGAAGCTTGGTGCTGGGTGTTCCATCATCTCCCCACCTCATGGAAGTACAGGTTGGCACAGATACATAACATGACAATAGAAAACAATATATAGTAAATTAGATTTCTGAATTTAGGCTCCAGGTCTCCTTGTCGGTACCAGTAGATCTAGAAGGGAAAAGGAGTTGGTATTACTTTAAAAAAAAAAAGAAAAAAAAAAAAAGCCAAGTACTTCTGAAGAAACTCTGTGGTAACTGAGCTGGCAACTTGTGGATCTGTTTGGGGCTTTCTTTTCTCCTGTAAAACAGCCCAACTTCCTCTGGCTCGAGAGACTGTGTGTGTTTGTGGAACTAGCTAGGAGGACATGGGTTGTCTGGTCAGCTCTGGGTTGGCTGGGTCATTTTTAACACTCCAAGCTCACTGCACACTGCAGGATGAGGACAAACGTCAGGGTTTGCACTCACAGCCTGTCCTGGGCACACTCAGGGCCATCCCAAACTGGGGCTGAGCACACAGCAGTGCAGGCTCAGGCCATGACTGCAGGGAGGACAACGCTCCAGGGCTGACCAGCAGAGGAAGGAGCCAGTGATGGCTCTGCCCATGGAATTGGGATTGGCCTGGATAGTCTTCCCTTCCACCCCAAACCATTCCCTGACTCCAGCAACTCTGACCTCCAGTGCTTGGGACCAACTCCCTCGGGATGCTGCAGCTGCTGAGTAGAGAAATCTCTGCCCCCACCCCTATGAAATGCCACGTGCTGTCCCTTCCTGCCCCTCTAACTCATCCCCTAACTTCCTGCCCCACCACTGCAGGTCTGCAGCACAATCGTGCTGTCCCTTCCTGCCCCTCTAACTCATCCCCTGTGCCTGAAAGGTCCCTAACTTCCTGCCCCACCACTCCAGGTGTCCTCTGCAGCACAATCCACCTCAGTGCTCTCCTCCCTGTCCTCTTGCTCTGTGGGTGGCACTGTCACAGGGGTGACAAATCTTGCACCCCAGCTGGGCAGGAGTTGGCTCAGTTCACATCCTCACTCTGCAGTGAACAGAGCTGGTTATCACTCTCCTGAGCTCGTTTCGTGGGGGCAGGAAAGCTCGTCTAGGAGGGTGTGAAACAGGAGGAGGCAAGATGTCAAGCAGGTTGTACTCAGAGCCACAGACTCCAAAGGTCGCAGGGCACACGTGGTGGTACTTACAAGGATTCCAGCAGAGATGCAACACAAGGAGATGCAGAAAGCAAAAAATATATTCACTGGTTTTGGAGGTAGTTGTGGGAAGACAAAAGCACTGATTAGAGTGACCTGTGTGGAGGAAAACAAAGGTGAAGACTTTGCTCTCTGCTGCTGCCAGAGCTGCCATGAGAAGAGGTTCAACCCAAGGGCTGCAGCACCACATCCCACTCTGCACACCCTCTCTGCTCCCTGACTCCCACCCCGGGAGGAGCTGGAGGGCAGTGTGATGTGCTGGAGGAAAATCCCACTGGGAGGGGTGGGAAAAACTGATCAAAGCTTTTCTGGTTGCCAGGACCCATCCTCCAAGTGCCCAGACAGACAGCCAGGGGCACACACTGCCCATGCAGGAGCATCCCTGCAGCCAAGGGCTCTCCAGCTGACACCTCAGCCCTCCCTGCTGCTCCCACAGGGACTGCAGAACTGGTGCTCCCCAGTCACCAGGGGGTTGGGTTTGTCTGTAAAGCTTGGGGAAAGCACAGCTCAAGGCAAAGGGACAAACTCTGGATAGAGTCTTATAAGCCATAAATAGAGGGAAATAAACCCTAAGCAGAAGGAGAGAGAGAGAAGCAAACATGGTCTCTGATGTCTCACCAGCCTCACACTCAGCCAGGATGGATAATGTACCAAAGAACTTCAGGGGTTTTACTGCACAGGCAGCTCTTAGGAGGTATTCTCCTCCTATTAGCAGAGTTTCAAAAGGCAAATGCAGCCTAAAGTGACTACCTGAGCCCCAACCACAGCCTGCTCAGTCACTGCAAGTTTCCCCACCCATTTTGGGGAGGAACTCTGGTTTTGCCCCATCTCCTAAGGGAGACACAGCACGGGATGGGATGGGGATACTTACTACAAGCAGCAAAGTTGTTAAGCAGCCAACAACTAGATTGATGATTCTGTCCTGAAGAAAAGAGAGCACAGTTATGTGTAGGCCTTGCCAAGAAAAAAACCAACTCCAAACAACCCAAACCACATAAAACAGCCCATTAACAACAGCACTGAGAGCATCAGCTCCATGTTACTTACCCCCAGCACACATCGAGGCTCCTGGTCAGCTCTGCACATGGGAAGGTTTCCCTCCCTCCCCTTCCACAGATCCCAGGAGCTCAGGGAGGTTGGACTGGCCAAGCCTCATGCAGAAGGTTTGCTCATCTGCCAACATCTTTGCTCCATCCAAATCGATTACAGCTGTGCAAATTGTCTTTAATTTTCTTGTTTGAAGTGGGAGTGCACAGATGGAGGTTGTCAGGAAAAGCTAATTTTAGCCTCAGTGCCTGAGAATTAATTGCTTGGTGGGGTGTTAGGTGGGAATTCGTGGTCTGCTGGCAAAGAGGTGAAGAGTTACCCACACCCCAAATGTTCCACCCAACACCTGCAGACCTGAACACCCCACAGGGTGGCCCTGCCTGGACAGACAGACATCCCTCCCCACTCCCTTCTGCTGTTCCTCATCAGTACAAGGCATCTGACTGGGAGGAGACAACCTGTCTGCACCTGGGGAGAGATGTCCCTGAGAGCCACATCACAGTCCCACCCTGACAGCATCAGAGCAGGGACCTGCTGAGACACTGAGCTGAGTGAGCTCAGAGGGTCACCAGGGCAGGACCTCGTGCTGCTGCACTTGCTGCAGTGAAAAACAACTTGAAGGAGAATATTCTCCTCCCTGTCTCCATGGTGCTGCTCTGGGTAGAAACACCTATGGCCACAGCTGGACTGGGCTGCACACAGTGAGGGGAACACCCCAGGGGCTGAATCCCAACTCAAAGGCTGCAAGGACAACTGCACCAGAAGAGATGTGCAGGGAGAAAACTCCCCAAACTACAATTACTGAAACCACCTGTGCACACTGAGCCAACAGCAGTGGCTGAGGAGGCCAAGGGCACCTTGTCCTGGCTCAGCAGAGTGTGGCAGCAGCACTAGGGCAGTGTCATCCCCCTGCACTGGGCACTGGGGAGGTCCCAGCTCAGTGCTGTGCTCAGCTTTGGGCACTCACTGCCCAAAGGCCATTGAGGCTCTGAGCGAGTCCAGCCAAGGGCAACGAGGGCAGCAAAGGGCAGAGCACATGGGCAAGGGCTGAGGGAGTTGGGTTGGTCAGCCTGGAGAAGAGGCTCAGGGGTGACCTCCTGGCTCTCTGCAACTCCTGCCAGGGCTGGAGAGAGGTGTGGGATGTGTGTCCTGCCAGGGCTGGGGGAGAGGAGAGAGGGAATGGCCTTGAGCTGAGCCAGGGCAGAGTCAGATTGGATGTGAGGAGAAATGTTGTCCCTGTTGTGGTGTTCAGCACTGG